AGCTCACAGCAACCTCAAACTCTTGGGCTCAAGTGATTCTCTTGCCTCAGCCTCCCAAGTAGCTGGGACTACAGGTGCCTGCCACAACATCCGGCTATTTTCGTTGTTGTTGTTATTGTAGTTGTTGTTATTTTGCAGGCCCAGGCTGGGTTCGAATCTGCCAGCCCTGGTTTATGTGGCTGACGCCCTAACCACTGAGCTACAGGTGCCAAGCCAAGGCTAAGTTTTCTTGTGTAGTGTTGAGAATTCCTAAGAGTTTACTAAAATTTCTTTACAATTCTAGATCATTTTCAGAGGTTATCATGTCTCTAATTCTTCAGGGATTATGTTTTCTTTGCCTTGTGGGTGACTGTTTTTCATAGTACCTATATCATGTTCTTCACCCCAACCCTTTTTGTTCATTCCTTAAGAGGTAGAATCTATATAGAATTGATGTTTGCTAATAAACAGTGGTTGGTTGCTGTTAATACTAAGCTCTTTAGTTGGGTAAGAGATGCATTTTCTTCTCAGATCTACAACAAATGTCAGATTAATGTGCATGCCTCTTAATTCCCAATTGCTAGCAGGCATTAACTTGGTACAGCTTTGCTCTCCTAGTATGGTATCTTTTCTTCTTTCTGTACTCTGGTTCCTTGACACTTTTCTGAGGGAATAGGTGAAAAAGTACAATTTACCTTATCTCTGTCCTATCTATAGCACTTAACCTGTTAGAGATCCACTTTCCAGAACACATTGGGACACCACTGGATTGCCCTTTTTGCTCAGTTATCTCATGAAAAAATTACTGTTATTATTATTATTAGTTGTTGTTCTTGGAGTTTTTGACTGGGACTGGGTTTGAACCCACCACCTCTGGCATATGGGACTGGTACCCTACTCTTTGAGTCACAGGCGCCGCCCTATGATTATTATTATTATTATTATTTTAGTAGAGACAGAGTCTCACTTTCTCACCCTCGGTAGAGTGCCATGGCGTGACACAGCTCACAGCAACTTCCAACTCCTGGGCTTAGGCGATTCTCTTGCCTCAGCCTCCCGAGTAGCTGGGACTACAGGCATCCGCCACAA